GAGTGAACTTCTGGAATTTCCTCATGAGCATTGCTAGCTCCTGGCTGAATTCTTCAGGAATACCAAGGCTGCTACCAGAATCCTCAGCTTCAGACTCCGATACTGCCTTGGCCTTCAGTGCACGTGATCTTCCGTAGCTCGGTACATAGAGATCTCTCTTCTCAGCAAGCTGGAACTTATGAGTGTTTAGCCTCTCGAGGATATCAGCGGGATCAAGTGACTTGTAATCAGGTCGTTCTTGAATCATCAGTGCAAGGGTATCAAATGAGGTGTCAAGTGATCTCAGGAATTTCTTCACCACCTCATGATTGGTGATATCAGTGGCACCAAGTGCTTGAAGCTCATTTGAGATGTCAGTGAGGCGATCGAAGGTTTGCTGAACATTTTCGTTGTTGAGTCTTTTGAAGCGGTTGAAGAGATTGCAAAGAACATCAACTCGGGAATCACGTTGAGTTGAGACTCCTTCATTGACCTTGGACAGCCTGTCCCAAATCAGCTTAGCAGTTTCCAGTGCACTCACTCTGCCGTACTGACCTTTGCTCAGATGGCCACATATGATATTCTTCGCTTGACAATCGAGTTGCTTGAATCTCTTCACATCAGTAGCATTCAGAGACGGAGTGACTGAGGGAACGCCATTTTCCACAACGTACCAGAGATCGTTATCAATTGCCTCAAGATGCATACGCATCGTGTTCTTCCAGTAGGGGTAGTCCGTCCCATCAAAGGTAGGACACCCAGCCGAGACCTTGATCATACCTGCAGTCGACATAGCTAAAACTCCAGGCGGTTAAACCAAACTCACATAGAACAAGGGAGTACTTTGCTCTGATACCAATTGAAAGCGCATTACGTCGACTAGAGGGGGGTGAATAGGTGATTTTTAAGAATTCTTCACCGAGGAATTTCAGGGTGAGGAAATTCCTAAGCGAAGAACAACTTGTAGCGGAATAAGTACTCAGGTATAAGCAAAACAAGGTAACAACATAGTCATCATGATGAAATGAAAGACAAACACAAAGTACAGAAAGCGTAAACACATGATTAGCAGGATGAAGACAAATAGACTGAAGAAATAGGATTGAGCAATTGGAGAAAGTCTTCAGTCAAAGTCTTCAAACAGTAATGATTAGGTACATCAACACATAACTGAGGAAATGAAAGGGTTGAGAAAATAGAACCAGTTGGCTTGGTGAAGACAAAGATTTGGTAGACCAGTTCCAACTGCCGTGACAGTTGTACGTCTGGTTGGAGTGGCTGAGTGTTTAAACTCGAGGACACACAGTCCTCACCGTATTCTCCTTGAGCTAAGATCACACAGACCTCGCCCAATAGTAGTGGTGAGTCTTCATAGGTGACTTCCAAACCTTCACAGACTTGGTCACTCGGCAATCCACAATTCCTCTTGGATGCTCAGACCATGATGCCTAACCGTCCGGAGGATACACAGTCCTCAAAGGTAACAAGCATCGGTTCCACACATGAACAATCTCTTCAGTGATGCTCAATCACTTTTCGGGTTTGTAGGTTTGGGTTTGGGATTTGGGATTTGGGTTTTCCTCACTTGATGATTTTCGCTCAAAGTCCTCGGAGGATGGGATGCTCTCAAATAACAAGTGTCAATTTCTCTCGGAGCAGCCAACCAGCTAGTGGTTGTAGGTGGCGGCTATTTATAGCCTAGGGAGCAGCCCGACATGATAAGACATAAATGCCCTTGGCTGATATGATCGTTAGGTGGTAGGATATTTTGGAACAGCTGGCGCGTAGCTCAGCAACGGTCGGGTTTGAGGTTCGAATTCCTCAAGGCTATCATGTTCCTCACTGTGTAGGCAATTCGCACTGGCGAATTCCTAACTCCTCAGTCAGAACAAATTCCTCAGAGACCAAAAGATCTTCGTCTCTGTCACTAAAGAAATTGACTGAACTGATATGAGATTTCCAATGGCTTCACTCAAAGGATTGGGTAGGTGTAGGATTTTGAGATGAGCATCACTTGGAAATTAGTTTCCTTAGTATTACCTCAACCCCCTTTAATAGTATGGTGTTTCCTATGACTTACGAAAGAGAAAATGAAACTACGCAAACAAAAGTCTTCACGCTTCAGATTCCTCGCATGAATATCGAAGTCTTCAAGGTCACACCAATTTCTTCACTTTCAAAGTCTTCAGGAGAACCAAAGTCTTCAGCCGAAGACATTCATTTTTAGGGGTCGACTTTCACTGTAAATATCAAGCTCCTCATTGACTTATAGAGCCTATGTACACTCACAAACATATTAGTCCCTTAACCTATAAGTCTTCAATACACCAAAATCACTAAGGGGCACTAGATGCACTTACAGCTTTAGGAAAGGAGACTTGTATATTGTTGATTTCTCTGCAGGACCACAACTTGCCACATGTCTACTTGCAAAAGCTTTAGAATGCTGGCTATGGCATCGACGACTTGGTCATGCTGGGATGAGGAACTTGCATACACTCGCGAAGAAGAAGCATGTCATTGGCATCGAGGGTGTCAAATTCCTCAAAGATCATCTCTGTGGGGCTTGTGAGGCTGGAAAGATCACGAGAGCCAAACATCCCTCGAAGACTATCATGACCACTTCTCGTCCTTTTGAATTACTTCATATGGATCTCTTTGGCCCTACTCATTATGCCATGTTCTCTAGTTCCGCATCATTATATGGCTTTGTCATAGTTGATGACTATTCTCGTTACACATGGGTGCATATCATCACTTACAAAAATGAAGTGCACGAAGTCTTCAGACGATTTTCCTCAAGGGCTTCCACTAACTTCGGTGTGAAGATCAAGCATATCAGGAGTGATAATGGAACCGAGTTCAAGAACACTGGCCTCGATGAATATCTTGATATGCTTGGTATTACTTACGAATTATCTGCTCCTTATACTCCTCAGCAGAATGGCGTCATGGAGCGCAAGAACAAAACTCTTGTTGAGATGGCTCGCACCATGCTTGATGAATACAAGACACCTCAGTGCTTCTGGCCTGAAGCAATTGATATTGCGTACCACATCATCAACATGGTATATCTTCACAAATTCTTCAAAAAGACCTCATATGAACTCCTCACTGATAAGAAACCCAATGTAAGTTATTTCAAAGTCTTCGGTGCTAAATGTTGGATTAGAGATCCTCACCATCACTCTAAATTTGCACCGAAAGCACATGAGGGTTTTATGCTTGGTTACGAAAAGGACTCGTACACCTACAGAGTCTTCAACATCAATCATCACAAGATTGTTAAAACTATAGATGTACGGTTTGATGAAACTAATGGCTCGCAAAGAGAGCATCTACCTCCTGTGTTAGATGAAATGTCACCTGAGGAATCTATCGAGTTCAAAGCAACTGAGGACATCATCCCTACCGAAGAATCTGCTGAAGAAGTCATTCCGGATCGTGAAGAAAATCCCGCTGGTGCTGCTGAAGAAACTGTTGGGCCTAAGCAAAGTCATCAACCCGCACATCCTCGCGTTGCAAACGAAGTGCAGATCGAGAAGATCATCGATGACATCAATGTACCAGGGCCTATCACACGCTCAAAAGCTTCACATCTATCTAACTTTTGTGGGAATTTTTGCATTTCTCTCTATCACAGAGCCCACTAAAGTTGATGAAGCGTTCATGGAATCTGAGTGGATTCAAGCTATGCAAGATGAATTGCATCAATTCGAGCAAAACAATGTGTGGGAGCTTGTCAAGCGACCAGACCCATGCAAGCACAATATCATCGGTACCAAATGGATCTACCACAACAAACAAGATGAAAATGGCCTTGTGGTGAGGAATAAGGCTCGTCTTGTAGCTCAAGGCTACACACAGGTTGAAGGAATTGATTTTGATGGAACTTTTGCACCTGTTGCTAGACTTGAGGTTGTTTGCATATTGCTTGCTTACGCTAACCATCATAATATCATCTTACATCAAATGGATGTGAAAAGTGCATTCCTCAATGGTAAGCTTGAGGAAGAAGTATATGTTGCTCAACCACCAGGTTTTGAGGATCCGAAATTTCCAGATCACGTCTACAGACTCGAGAGGCCCTCTATGGCCTCAAGCAAGCACCTCGGGCGTGGTATGACGCACTGAAGGAATTCCTCATGAAGAAAGGCTTCAAACCCGGTTCACTTGACTCAAATCTTTTCACCAAAACATATGATGATGAATTATTCATGTGCCAAATATATGTTGATGATATTATCTTTGGCTGTACTAACCAACGTTACAGTGATGAATTTGCCTATATGATGAGTGAAGAATATCAAATGTCTATGATGGGAGAATTGAGATTCTTCTTAGGTCTTCAGATTCGTCAACAATACAATGGCATATTCATATCTCTGGAGAAACACCTCAAGGATGTGTTGAGGAAATTCGGCATGCAAGATTGCAAAGGCGTCAAAATCCCTATGCCCACAAATGGCCATCTATGCACTGATGAAAATGGTAAAGACTTTGATCAAAAGTTATAACGCTCCATGGTTGGCTCCTTATTGTACCTATGTGCATCTATGCCGGATATTATGCTTAGTGTTTGCATGTGTGCCTGATTTCAAGCTACACCGAAGGAATCACACCATAAGGCTCTGAAGCATATTCTTCGATATCTATCTCACACACCGACACTTGGATTATGGTATCCCAAGGGCTCTTCCTTTGATCTCATTCGATATTCAGACTCTGACTATGTTGGTGATCGGGTGGATAGCAAGTCAACGTCAGACACATGTCATTTCCTCGGACGATCCTTGGTATGTTGGTTCTCGAAGAAGCAGAACTGCATACCACTCTCCACTGCAGAAGCTGAGTACATTGCTGCTGGATCTTGCTGTGCTCAATTGCATGGTGAAGCAAACCCTCAAGGACTATGGCATCAATGTGAAGAATGTGACAGTCTACTGCGACAATGAGAGTGCTATCAAGATTGCTCACAACACAGTTCAGCACTCAAAGACAAAGCACATCCAGATTCGTCATCATTTTCTTTGTGACCATGTGTTGAAGGGCGACATCTCCATCGACCACGCAAATACTGAAGACAAGCTGGCCGATATCTTCACAAAGCCCCTGGATGAGAAGAGATTTAGCAAGTTGCGGTGTGAGCTAAATATCCCAGAATCTTCGAATGTTCTTTGAAAAGTACACACATCGTAACACTTATGCTGACTTGATGACTTAGATGTGCAACACAGAAGTAACGTTTTTCTTCAATCAATGAAGACTAACCCTCTGAGTGTGAAGAAATTAATGAAGAAATTGATTGTCAGAATCCTACGACAATTGTACGCGGTGTCTGAAATCAGCTTTCTTATACGGTGGGTTACGCCACCAACCAAAGTTGAAAATCTTCAATTTGAGTTTTTCTTCTTCTTTGAAATTCCTCGGTTTTTCAAATTCTTCAACTTTGCATTGTCTTCACTTCTTCCATCATTGTTTTTCATTGACTATACATATATATTTGAGTTTATGTCCTCTACAACATTCACTTATTGCTAATTCTTCAAGTTGACTTTTCTGCTAAGTGAATGTGACCGGACCCTTTTCCCCCTCTATGCTAAACTCAATCCAGTCCATTCACAAATTCTTCATGTGCGTTCTATGTGAAACTCGTTCAAATTCTTCACTGTGTCCTTGTCAGCTGAAGAAATTGCGAACGAAACAATTAAAATATTCTTATCTGGATTTTCGGCTTTTGCCGCTCAAACCGTTACACCTCCCACGATATACTTATCTATTCACCCACGATCTCACACGATCGCCACCTCTCAGTACGTGGGTGACACATGTCGCGCGGATGAGAAGGGTCAGGGGCACGTTCGTCCAATTTCCTCGGATGAGCGGTTTTTCACCTCCGCTATAAATACCCCCTTCCCTCCTCACTTTGTTTTTACTCCGCTTGACCTCACTCCCTCGCTCGAGCTCTCAAAACCTAGCGACGCCGCTACGTCCATCATCGCCGGTGAGGAAGAGCTTCACTGCCTCGACCTCGTCGCAATCGTACTCGCGCCGGCCGCGGACATCTTCTCTCCGCCGCCGCCGTAGACGTCTTCCTCCGCCAAGTTAGGGCGTGGAAGATCTGAGCCGGCGAACTTCTCAATCTACACTTCCAGTTCGTCATGTTCTTTGTTAAGGGTAATTAAAAGTTACTTTTAGTGCCTTTATTACTACTGATGATTTTCATCAAATCTTCAAAAGGTGTTTATTCCTCAACTTCCACACTCTAAACACCTAGCACAAATCTTCTGCTCTTGATCTGTTTCTCTAAAGTGACGTTTTTCTTCATGATTCCTCAATTGTGTGAATCTCACAAATCCACACAACTCTGGAATCTAAGACAAAGAACGCTTAGTGAAATTCTTCAAGACACACCTGGTCAATTTCCTCAAACTTGTTCTGTTTTGCAAAAACTTCTAAGAACGCACATGACCTCTCCAAATTCCTCGCACCTATACTTTGTTCACAGGTACACATGACAGCTACTGAATCACTAGGTTCTCATCAACTTAATTCATTTGCAGTGTTCCTTGAAGAAAAGCTGCATACTTCTTCAGAGAACTCTATTGTTCAAATTCCTCAGCTGAAGAAAATGGCAGATGGTAAAAGGCCTCAAAAAGGAGGAAAGAAATTGGAAGTCAACACTGCGTTTGAGATCCCTGAAGACATTTACTCAGGGTACTGCACGCCTGATGAGGCAACCCACAGCAAGCAAACCAAGAATGAGCGCAAAGTGCGCATACAGAGGATTGAAATAAGATGGGCACGAGAATGGAGGGAGTACAGATATGTCACTCCTAAATACATGAAGAAATTCGCTCTTCACCCTCCATGCTCAAGACCTCCTTTGGCACCTGGCCAAAGAGCTGATCCAACAAGCCTTAAACATGGTGAGGATTATGTTGATGAGTGAGCCAGGCAGCAAGCTAAGTTGGCCAAGTAGGCCAAAGAAGCAGTGAAGAAATTCAACAAAGATTCTGCTGCTGCCGCTGCTGAGGCCACCACGAGCAAGAAGGCTATGCCTAAGAAGTCTACTCACAAACCAACTTCCTCAGCAATGCCCTCACGGCCAACTTCCTCAGCAATGCCCTCATGGCCAAGTTCCTCGGCAATGCCCTCACGGCCAAGCTCCTCTATGCCTCAAAGGCAAAATCCTCAAGCTTCCCCTGTTCCTCAAACCGCACCAGTTCCTCGGGTTTAAAAACTCTCAGCTCCTCCTGCAAAGTCTTCAGCACCTGTGCATCTCGCCACGTGCCAAAGGACCACTGGCATCTCAATTGTCTCAGGAGATTCAGCGAGTTCTTCAGCTCCTCATTTGTCTTCAAAGAGCCCAAGTCTGCTGAAGACTAAGGCCACTGCAGGACGAGGCACTAGACCTAGTCCTCACAAGAAACAAGTTGCTTTTCAAGTGCCCTCTGATGATGATGAGGCTGATGATGATGAATTAGCTGATATCATCAATGACAAATAGTAGCGGGCCGCTAGAGCCAAAGGGAGTGTTCTGCCACTTCTACTGGATCCAAAGAAGATCCTGGATTTCATCGACCTCGGGCACAAAGATCCCAATACTCTAATGCCAGAGATCGGCATCACTCCTGGACCAAGTCACATGGTGACAGCATTCATAGCTGAAGAAAAGTGGAAATATGATCAAGCCAGAGTTGCAAAGAGAGCCCAGTACAAGAAGCAACGCTATCTGAAGGATAACGTTCCGAGGTTATCGCCTGAGCAGCTCATTGCACTACAATCTGAGATCAAGAAGCCCAGTGATGAATTTGACGCCTACAAGGTAGAATGGCTGGGAGCCAAAGTCAGATTCGTCAAAATGGCAAAGAAATTCACCCCCCTCTAGTCGACATAACACATTTTCAATCTTTGCGGAACTGTCCATCCAATGGTCGATTGCCCTCATCAATAATAGCAGTGTCCTTGCCCTTTTCATCAGTTGAGGAAAATGTCTGCTTGAGGACTTCGATTGGGGGCAAGTAACTGCCATGGTTGAGTGTATCAGCTTTGTAGTTGAGTGAAGACCTTGATCTGAGTAATCTCATGATCCAAGGAGCATAAGGCTTCAACTCAAAGGGAGACATCACGACATTTGCCAAAGTCCTCATGAAGAAGTCATGGTAGTTCACTGGAATACCATGCATGATATTGAAAAGCAGATTCTTCATGATGCCAACAACTTCTTCATCATTGGAGTCGTGGCCTTTGATAGGATTGAAAGTCTTGGTCAGAATGCGATATACTGTCCTTGGCACATATTGCAATTCCTTCACAAGGAACTTCGTCCTTGAGGCTTGACCAGGCTTCAATGGCTTCATCAGGACTTGCATGAAGTGATCAGACAGTTCAGTTTCAAAGTAGATGAAATGTGTACCTTCTGGGGGAGGACTGACAGGCATGGCACGAAGCAATTCAGTTACCGATGCCTTATAGTGAGTATTTTTCTATCATCCAGTTCAACACCCATGAGTTCACATCTTCAGCATTGCCAGTGATGTGCAGCGTCGCATAGAATTGAAGAATAAGTTCTTCATTTCAACCATAGATGTTTGTGCAGAAGTTAAGAAGTCCAGCATCATGAATAGCAGCGAGGACCGGTGTGAAGCAAGGCAGTTGTTCCATATCAACATGAGGAATATGTTCATGGTCGAAGACTTTGTCTTTGTTGAAGAGCACCGAGGAATAGAAGTTGGCTTGGCTGGCAGTCCAGAAGCGCTTCTTTCTCAAACGAGTAGAGTCATATGGATTATATTCAGTGAAGAACACCTTCTCATTGAAGAAAACATTAGCCTTTGAATTTTGGAGTCTTGGAGAAGGGATTCTTCGGCTTTGGCTAAGAAGTATTAGTCAGTTGAAGAATAACCTCAGGAATCTCAACCTCCGGAGCCGCAGGCTGAGGAACATCTGCTTCTGCTTCAGTAGCAGCCTGGGCCTCCATTTCTTCATCAGCTTTGTCATCAGCACTAATGGCTGGAATTTCTTCATGGATGGAAGGGGTAGCATGAAGTTCTTCAGAGCCCATCAGAACTTCAGTTGGTGCTGGGGACTGAGGAATTTGTTGGAGTGGTGTGAACAGAGGAGAGTTGGGGTGCTGACTGTCCCAAAAATCATCGTTCATCACTGGAGTGGTGCTCCCAATGTCCACATCCTCATCCTCTCCCATTTCTTCAACGCCGGCCTCTTCAGCTGTGAACTGAGGCATTGGCGATGATACCTGGGGAGTTGAAGTGATAGCATCCATTTCAATTTCTTCATCCATCTGCTCTGTGGAAGCAAAAGAGGAATCTTCTTCAGTAGATTCATCAGGAATCTCATAATCTTCGCCATAAGGAACAAGCTCCTTTGATGGCATGCTTGAGAGAGGAACAACATCGATAGGGTTCTCAATAGAGCTTGTCAAAATCTTTGCCTTCTTGGGTGCAGAAGATTCTGAGGAAATAGATGCTTTCCTTTTCTTTAGAGCGGCTCTCTCCGTGGCTTTTGTTTTCTTCACTTCCAGAGCAGAAGGAAGAATTGGGATTGGTGTTGATGCAGGCGGAGCAGAGGGAATTGGATCAATTTCTTAAGGCGCAACTGATGCAGTTAGCCTGACTTGTGCAGTTTCTTCAGGCACATCTTCAGATTCTTCAGCTATCTTGACTTGTTCTTCAGGCGCAACACTAGTGGTTGCCTTGGCAGTTTCTTCAGTGACTGATATTTCTTCAGCCCTGGTGCTAGCAGTTTCATCAGTAGCCTGATTTTCATCAGTGGTGCTGGAATGTCCTTCAGTCGGCTGGGCAGATGCTTCACCCGAGGGAATCTCAATGTGCGATGGATCAGCAACATTGGGGGTCAAACGTCAGTTTGGTTCAATTCTTCACAACATGACTGCCACATATAGTTCAGTGAAGAAGAACCACTACTACCTCAATGAAGTTTTTGATTGCACCTGGGCTGTCCTGACTCATCTCTACGGTGATGAAGATCTCAAGCAGATGGGCTTCAAGCAGTACTTCGGCTGGTCTAAGCCTCCTCCGAAGAAATTCAAGAAGGTCGAAGTTCCTCCTTTGGTGCCCAGCTCATATTCCTCATCCCATGAGACTGATGAAAATGAAGACTTGGACGACACTACGGCAGGCCCTTCTTCAATAACCGACCCCAACAACACTAGCGCTCCTCCATCGACTTCGTAATGAAACTCTTCAGGGGCGTTAGTCCTCACTCTTTTGTCCCTTTTGGTCATTTGATGACAAAGGGGGAGAAATTTGAGGTAGTCTTCAAGCGGGTCTATATATATGGGCGTTTTTTGTTAAGTTGCAACTCTCGCTCTTCTGAAGTGTTTGTTGAATGAGTTGTAAGCTTAAGTCCGATGGTGACCTGATACTTTCGCTATGGTTTTCTGCATGCCATTTCCTCATTAATGTTATGCACGCATGCTGAATTACATCAATCACCATATTTCATCATGCATTTCAAATTCTTCATACCATATGTTAAATGCGTGTATTAATTACAAGATATAGGGGGAGATCTCCATGGTTCTACTCTTCAAATGTGCATTGCTTCAAAATCAAATTCTTTAGTATGCACATCTTCAGGGGGAGTTCTTCTATATCTTGCAATCAAATTCCTCAATATTGAGCACTTTCAATTCATATGTTTATCCCCGTTGAAAACATAACCTATATTGTCATCAATCACCAAAAAGGGGAGATTGTAAGTGCATCTAGTGCCCCTTAATGATTTTGGTATATTGAAGACTTATACGTTAAGGGACTAATGTGTTTGTGAGTGTACACAGGCTCTATAAGTCAATGAGGAGTTCGATATTTACAGTGAAAGTCGACCCCTAAAAATGAATGTCTTCGACTGAAGACTTTGGTTCTCCTGAAGACTTTGAAAGTGAAGAAATTGGTGTGACCTTGAAGACTTGGATATTCATACGAGGAATCTGAAGCGTGAAGACTTTTGTTTTGGTAGTTTCATTTTTCTTCTTCTTGAGTCATAGGAAACACCGTACTGTTAAAGGGGGTCGAGGTAATACTAAGGAAACTGATTTCCATGTGATGCTCATCTCAAAATCCTACACCTACCCAATCCTTTGAGTGAAGCCATTGGAAATCTCATATTTGTTCAGTCAATTTCTTCAGTGACAGAGACGAAGATCTTCTGGTCTCTGAGGAATTTGTTCTGACCGAGGAGTTAGGAATTCGCCAGTGTGAATTGCCTACACAGTGAGAAACATGATAGCCCTGATGAATTCGAACCTCAAATCCGACCGTTGATGTGTGGTGCGCCAGCTGTCCCAAAATATCCTACCACCTAATAGTCATATCATTGAAGGGCATTTATGTCTTATCATGTAGGGCTACTCCCTAGGCTATAAATAGTCGCCCCTGACAACCACTAGCTGGTTGGCTGCTCTAAGAGAAACTGACACTTGTCAATTGAGAGCATCCCATTCCTCCGAGGACTTTGAGCAAAAATCATCAAGTGAGGAAAACCCAAATCCCAAACTCAAACCTACAAACCCCAAGTGATTGAGCATCACTGAAGAGATTGTTCATGTGTGGAACCGACGCTGGTTACCTTTGAGGAATGTGTATCCTCCAGACGGTTAGGCGTCATGGTCTGAGCATCCAAGAGGAATTATAGATTGCCGAGTGACCAAGTCTGTGAAGGTTTGGAAGTCACCTGTGAAGACTTACCACTGCTGTTGGCGAGGTCTGTGTAATCTTAGCTCAAGGAGAATACGGTGATGACTGTGTGTCCTCGAGTTTAAATACTCAGCCGCTCCAACCAGACGTACAACTGTCACAGCAGTTGGAACTGGTCTACCAAATCATTGTCTTCACCAAGCCTACTGGTTCTATTTGCTCAACCCTTTCATTTCCTCAGTTATGTGTTGATGTATCCGATCATTACTGTTTGAATACTTTGACTGAAGACTTTCTCTAATTCCTCAATCCTATTTCTTCAGTCTGTTTAGTCTTCATCCTGCTTATCCTGTGTTTACGCTTTCTGTACTCTGTGTTTGTCTTTTATTTCATCATGATGACTATGTTGTTGCTCTGCTATCTTATACCTGAGTACTTATTCCGCTGCAAGTAGTTCTTCGCTTAGGAATTTCCTCACCCTGAAATTCCTCAGTGAAGAATTCATAAAAAATCGCCTATTCACCCCCCCTCTAGTCGACGTCGCACTTTCACAAATGCTAATGAGGAAGAACAACCTGAGGGAAATGCTAATCCTCCCATGCGTCGATTTGCAAATTGAGTGGACGTTGACATGATCCTCGATGACATTCATCAACCAGGTAGAATTACTCGATATCGTGCTCGATTAGCTAACTTATGTGGGCATTTATGTGCTTGATTAGCCCTTGACGTGGATGCCCCTCCGACACCACTAGGTTGTCGTCTAGCCTGTAGCCGCGAGACCTCATTATCGTTTCCCCTAGAGCGGCCCAACAGAGAGAGTAAGCTGACCGCGGGATCAAACCACGAGATGTAGTGGCCGACGGAGCAGCGCAGGCACATGCATTGCGAGAGACGAAAAGGGTGCACGGTCAGGGTTGTACCTCACAGGTGTGCATCCCGTCTTCCTGCGGTCGTTGGGCGAAGATAGGAGACTTGTCGTAGAGGCGACCCGGGAGTGCGAGCGTCGGCGCAGACCAGCCTCCGGCAGTTGGGGCAACGCACTCGCGGGGAGACGACATCGTTGGTTGAGCGCCTACCACGACCGTGAAGAAGCCATCTCCAGGGAGGAGGGCTAGTCTTCGTTTGCGGCTGCCACCAAGACCTCTCGGAGGTCGAGCATGAACCTCTTGTTGCCCTCGTCGAGATGCTACGAGCAGGAGCGCCAGGCTGGGCGAGGAAGTAGGGCAGTGCAAGCAGCACGGTTGCCGGGTGCAGTCCCATCGCGATCACCGACAGTCGAGTGACCAGATCTCCGTGACCTTCTCTCTCTGCTCTCACTCAGTGTGAACTAAATGAGAAAGGAATGGAGAACAAGTGAGTGAAATAGGTGAGGAATTGATGATGGACCATGATGTTCGCGTTGTGCCTTGTTGAATCGTTCACGTGATTTCCATCCAGAGCGAACTACCGCTCGATGCTGGACAAACCATGTGTGCCAAGATCCATGGCCCAAAATGCACGGTTCCTAAGTACTCCCTCCGTTTTTAAATGTAAGTCTTTTTAAAAATTTCACTATAAACTACATACAAATGTATACAAACATATTTTACAGTGTAGGTTCACTTATTTTGCTTACTATGTAGACCATAATGAAATCTTTAAAAAGACTTATATTTAGGAACGGATGGAGTAGTTCGCTAGAACAATGTTTCTAAGGTAATGTTAGCAAGATAACATTTTCCAATAAAAAATATATCAAGGTCTTTGGACCACCGAATAACCACTCGAAGAAACTTAACTATATTTGACTTAGGACAAACCTAGAATTTTAAAGTATTTTGAAACGAAAGCCAACTTCACATTTTTTACTTACTCCCTCCATTTTTGTATACAAGGCCGCTATCAAAATTATAATTTGCAACTATACAAGGTCACTAATATTAATCGAGGTAAAATTGATGATGTTTGCCTCGTACTAGCACCCAAGAACATTAATATCCCTTTCATGCATGTGGGAGTGAGAAGGTTGGCTTGCATTCCCAACATTAATCAATAACGAGGAGTAAAAGGGTTGGCTTATTGTGCGTGAGAGAGAAAAAGCACATTAATTACACGACAAACAAGGTGACAAACTAGCTTGCAAAATTGACTTAAACACGCATTGATTTTTACCTTGGTACCTGTAATATGAGTTTGTGGCCTTATATATAAAAATGAAGGGAGTACTTATTCTGATCATGAGAAAACAAACGGTACCGATCCCAATTTACCACCCAGCAGTTTTATCATCACCTGGGCCTCCCAGCCAGCATGAAGGCCTTGAACACAAGCTTCCTGGGCACCGTCGGCTCATCCCCCCACCCCTCTTCCACCTCCTTCATCACACCCTTCACAAGCGCCTCCAGGTCCACCCCTTTCTCCCTAGCCGTGGTGGCGACGGAGCCGGTCATCACGAACCCGGCCAGGTCCTCCAGCGTCATCTCCGCCTCCATGTCGACGTCGGCCGGCTCGCCCTCGCGGCCCACCCCGACGGGCTCGAACGGGAACGGCAGCTCGCGGTACCGCTCCATGGCCAGCCTCGTCCTCGGGTCCATGTACGGCCGCATGGCCGGGTACAGCGTCCCGTGCAGCTTGTCCCCGAACGGGTGGATGTCGTAGTTGTACCCCCACACGGCGAGGACGCCGCCGGGCTTCCTGAGGACGCGGTTCACCACGGCGTAGAAGAGCGGGACGTCGAACCAGTGGATCGCGGTCGCCACGATGACCAGGTCCAGGGAGCCCTCGCCGCCGACCAGGGCGACGAGGTCGTCCTCCGGGAGGTCCTCCGGCGTGTGCAGGTACCGCACCTTGGGGTGCGCGATGGCGTGGCGGAGCTGGCCCTCGCTCACGTCCGTCGCGACCACGCCGTCGTAGTGCTCCGCGATCTGAGGAGGGGATTTTCGCTTTTCAGGTGCTCGCTCAACTCAGAGTTCAGATCAAACGAAGTGGCTTAAAGGGTTGGAGGCTTACGCTGACGGAAGCCTGGCCACTGCCGCAGCCGGCGTCCCAGGCGCGGTGGTGGCCGGCGGTGAGGGAGGCGAGCATGGAGAACCACTCCTTGGGGTACCGCGGCCGCTTCTTGGCGTACGTCTCCGACGGTTTCTCATACAGCCCCGCCATTCTTGTGCGCTGCAGCTGTAATGAACGGCCGTCTGTCAAATGCCTCGAATTGCACTTGCAGGGCTGGATCTGGATGGAATTTATAGACAACTCGTAGCACCTTGGAGGTCAGAGTCAAAGTCAATGTGGTCACATAATAATCCATATAAAAAGGCAGCCATGAGTTATCCACTAGGATTCAGAATCTTAAACTGCAGCAATTTTTCTCTCAGACTTTACACTACCACGTGCAGAAATATGATGCAGCAGAAACCCGAAGTTAACGCGGCAGCGAGATGGTTTTCAACATGGAATCAATAGGCATCCAAGGGGTAAAAACAGGGAGTGCATCAAACCTTATGGAATGATGTGCTAAAAGCATTGGAACGCATCAGATCTGAATGAAACCTGTGGATTGGGGTATAAAGCAGGTCAACCCGACGTAGGAGACTTTGCTTGCTCTAGCTTGTGTGAAGCACATCACTTTTGCTTCGCCAACATAATTGTATGCACCGAACTGAACTATCTGAACATCCACAAGATGCTCCAGCAGCCATAAGTGGGAACGCTTCAAGATGCTTAAACATCGCAACAACACATGTATTAACTACTCCCTCCGTCCGGGAAAAGTTGTCCCCAACGACATTTTGTGAAAATCACCTCCCCTTTCTTCCGACAAACTACGCAGCCCTCCCTCCGTCTGCTTCTCTGCTCCGTCGCCTCGCCACGCGCCGGCCGCCTGCTCCGTCGCCTCGCCGCATGTCGGCCGCCTTCTCCCCCTCGTCTCGCCGCTTCTCTCCGTCCGCACTAGAAGATCAAGAGGGAAGGGATCCCCTTTTCTGTAAAGCTCGCGCCTTGCCGGCTCCGTCGGCGGCGCTCGATGACCCGCTCCTCGTCCTCGATCTCCTCATCCTCGAGCACCTCCTCCAGACCCCCAGCTCCGGCAGCGGCGCTCGATGACCCGCTCCTCGTCCTCGAGCTCCTCATCCTCGAGCACCTCCTCCAGACCTCGAGCTCCGGCGGCGGTGGCGTGGGAAACACGACCAGGGCATGGGGAAGACGAAGACTTGCTCCAGAAGCTTGTCTTACTCCTCGAGCTGGTGGGCTTATGATGGAGGACCTGCACTCTTGGCTCCACCAGCGCAGCCGCTGCCGCTTCTGCTTCTGCTCCCCGCTCACCCACAGCGCAGGTTTGTCTTCTGAATTTACAGGTGATGTCTGTCTGTTGAAGCAAGCAGGTGAGCTGATTTTTTGCAGCGATTGGAGGAGGAATGGAGTATTGCAGAGGAATGGGTGCTGCTTCTTTTGTGAGCCATAGAGTATTGGGAGTACGAGTAAAGTACTGACAAAATTCAGTTAGCCATGGAGTACAATAGATGAACATACAGTATAGATTCAGTTAGCCTTGCACTTTGCATGCTTCCAGTATTGGTGAACATAAAGTAGATAAGCATACAGTATAAATTCAGTATAAACAGTATTGGTGATAATTGAATTCAGTTGGTGACAAAATCACTACTTTGTGTACACATTGACTGAATTTAACTTGGGAGTACAGTCACTACATTGCTTCTCTGCTTACAAAATTCAGATTGAATTTCACTATCAAAAGAAAAGAAGTGGAGATTAAATGCACAAGCACTTCAATTGTGTGCTCAGTAAATTACCAAGTTCAGTAAAATTCAGTCTATGAATTCAGTTTACTGTGTGCTCAATTGTGTGCATCGTTGGGACACTTTACTGTTCATGAATTGGAGTACATCTCTGCTTTCATGTTTTAGGTAGCATCATCCATGGATGCATTCACTATTTCAATCAACTCCTGTAGATTGGATTCAGTACAAAATCAGTTAACTCCTATAGAAAAGAGAGATTCCAACTTATAATCAATTTAATTCAGTACGATTTCTTTCCACCTAGTCCCCTGTTTCCAGGTCAAAATTGCATGTTGACACTAGTAGTAAGAGTAGAATAAGAATAATTCCAAATAAACTCAAATAAAGTTAGTCAAAAGTGACTATACAAAAATTTAGTCACAAGTTTGCTTTAGTATATGCAATTCGTAATGTTAACTAATTCAAATAAGCTAAGATCAATACCAGAACATGCCAATTATTGATGCTTTTTTTGTTTTCCTCTCTGTAGGAGCAGATTTGCTCCTGGTCTTTATTCTACAGGAGCAGCTTCTTGTTAGTCCTTGTACTATCCCTGTTGATATTATTCCAAATAAATTCAAATAAAATAAAAAATTCAGTCACTAGTGATGGATTATGCTCAGTAAAATTACCAAGTTCACTAAACTCGGTCTAAAATTGACAGCAAACTGCTGTTAAAACATCCACATTTTGTTATTTTGGTTAATTGAAAACAAAAGCTATGTGATGCAGGTTTGCATGTGAAGACCTTCACTCTGCGCTCATCATATAAGCCACTTTGTACTCTTATTGTGTTGTCTTTTCTCTGTCTTTCTATCAGGAAGGATTTGGGGATGTTTTCAGAGATGTTGTCCTTCTCTCATTTTAGACCATGATCATTTTAATGCTACAGTTCAGAAACAAGGAATTTAGTTGATGAAAGCACATTCCATGAACATCAAGGAAATTTTAGTAAACTGCAGTAGGATTTTTCCAAGTTAGTGCTTGCAAAATTTGTCACTGTCAACTGAAACATGAGTCTATGTTTCATTTTCCAAGCTAGTGCTTGCAATATTTGCAAGCATTATTGTTTTTTTCTTTGTACAATATGGCAGTAGAGACCATGGCAGTAGAGACCATGACAGTAGTGACCATGACAGTACTGAACATATACTCCCCTGAATTTTTTATGCTCCTATTCCACTTTATGAGTTTTTTTAAACTGCCAAATGACAATTTACTGAAGATGCAGAGAAGATGCTAGTAGTATCTCTCAAGTTAACTTAATCTTGGAAAGTTCACTTTATGTGCTCACATTCGATCGTGTGTAATAGTTCTACGAAGGTAATCTTGTAGAGAATAAGCTTAATAACCCTGCTTTTATGTGCTCACATTTTGAAAGCTTTTCCTTCTGTGGGTGCTCTAACAGCTCAAAAAAAAGTGATCATATATTAAATCCCTGAATAATGTTCTTTTATCTTGAGGAAATTACATAATCAATATTAGTGCCCGCCTAAAGGGGAAGTACTATGGGGTAAACATTTAGCCAAATGCAAATCAGAGCTGACCTGAATGTTGTTGCTTTAGACTTCAGAGTTTCAATATTGTTTACATCTTTGACATAGGATAAATGATTATAAATGCAGAGCCCACCTGAATGTTGTTGCTTTAGACTTCAGAGTTGCTTTATTGTTTACATAATCAATCTTTAGAATTTAGCCAGACTTATCGAGCCTTAATCATCATCCAACCACTTAGCCATCATTCCTTATAGCGTTATAATCTACTGCAATTTGATCTTGATGCAGAGAAGATGCTACTAGTATCTCTCACAAGTTAACTAGAACAATTGAAAGCAACAGTAGATCAGAAATTGCTTCTACTCTAGGTGAGGTTCAGAAATTATCCAAAGATTCAGTTAACTTTTGTTAACATTCAGTTAACTGATGAACTTTGGACATTGAGGGACACATTCAGTTTACTTCTGTGTTAACTGAATCTTTTTTGCAACATTTCTGCAGAGTACTCTCACCGGCAGCATGATCAATTGTGTTTGAAATTAATGAACAAGTGCAAGGATCAGAAATTGGAGCTTCTTCTCACCGGCAGCAGCACAAGCAGGGTAGCTCCAGGCAGCAGCACGAGCAGGCCCGCCTGGGAGGAGCAGCAACTTGCAGACGAGCAGCAGGTCGAGGAGAGGAGTGGGGGAGACGACAGGGGCCTCGAGGTTGAGGATGAGCTTCAATTCCAGGCCCGCCGGGAGCTCCAGGTCCAGGCGCTCGAGACCCAGGCGCGCGCAGGTCCTGGCTGGCGGGAGGGGATAGAGGCGCAGCCTTGGGCGGCGTAAGGGGTGACGGCGGGAGAGGATGGCGGCGGTGCAGCGCCATTCAGCCGTGGAGCCGCCACCCGTCGAGGTGGTCGCCGCGGAGGAGTAGGTGGATGGCGCAGCTCGCCTTGGGCGGCGCAGGTGGGCGCGGGCGGCGTTGGTTCACAGCGGTGGTGCAGCTCGCCTCGGACGGCGCAGGTGGGCACGGGCGGCGGTGGTTCACAGCGGCGGCGCAGGTCGTGGCCGTCGTCAACCGGTGCCGACGGTGGCTTGGGCGGCGGACGAAGAAAGGAGGAAGAAGCAACCGGGGGCTGATTAGCAAGAGATTCGAAGATGGAAGGTTTTTTTTGCAAATTTGAAAATGAACTAAGCGCTGGACAACTTTTCTCGGACGGAGGGAGTAGTACCTAGTTGTCTACACGATAAGACTTTTTAGAGCATATACCTCACTGATCTAAAAAGGCTTATAAAAGTTTGCAGAGGGAGTACAAGTTCTACGAGCAACGTTGACTGCACAAGATAATTGTACAGCAACCGAAACGGAAAACCAGCAGAGAATTGGGGACAGTGGGACTGGCATAGCAGACACAGTATGAACCCTTCTGTCCTGTTATGTGTGAGGATCCAGGATTTATACAAGTGATGAAGACGCCCCTTGAACATTGCATCCAACGTCGACCTGTCATGATGAGAAAAGCAGAAAATTCAAATTGACAATTTAGACACACAAGAGTATTATTACTGAACAATCTTTGTATCTATACTTGTTAAAGACTGGGCATGATGATGGCAGCAGAAGAGGTGAGGTATTATATGACAACAAGTATATACTCTCTCCGTCTCAAGATAAGTGTCTCAACTTTGTACTAACTTTAGTACAAAGTTATACTAAGGTTAAGACATTTATTTTGGGAAAGAGGGAGTACAAGACTAAGAAAATATACCTCCCAATTACAAATAAGCTCCATTTAACAATAGCGGCTGTCATTCTTTACATCTTTGTAAGTAGAGGTGCACATGTACATCAGTTGGGAAAAGAATTGCCCCTTTCATGCTGGGTGAACACTTCATCATATTCTCTGCATAATGCCAGCTTCTTTTCCTGGAGCGATCTGGTAATGCAGCCGTGAACCTTCGGGAGTTCCCAAAGGCGCACCCGTGCAGGAGCAGTTGTCAACCATATAAAGCTCCCATTTCTTGATACCACATTTCTCCAAAGCAGAGTCCAATCTTGGGTTGTCCCCGTCAGGATAAGACCCATCAGGGGTAACAAGCACTGCTCCAGTGTATGATTGTCCAGCAGCCTGAGCAGCTCCATGGTAATGGAACAGACCCCAGCTGAAATCATCTGAAACATCAACAATTGTCCAAAACTCTTTCGAAACCACACCATTATCCAGCACACTGAAATAAAATGTACCAGGTACGCTAGCTCTTCTCACTCTGTACTTTCTACGCCTCCAAACCAGCTTCCCTTCCAGGGTTCTGACTTGAAAAATTGGCTCATACCAAAATGAACCTTTAGCTTTCCCTCTGTAGAATAGTTGGTACTGGCATGGGAATTGGTCATATGCTGGATTCTGTCCAGCTACAACTCTCCAGCTCCACTCCAAGCCGTCCAGCCAGCCGACAAACAGGTCTTCTGCAACTTCATGGCTAAGCTTTTGTTCTCTGAACATTGATAGTGGGGTCACAGAGGGCTTACTAGGGATCTCAGCATTGAGCTCAAGGCAGTTGTGCTTTTGCAAAACACAGAGGGAAAAGGCCTCTAGATGCGGACTCTCGTACGATGCAATGCAGCGATAGTTGCAGACCTGGTCGGTTGGAGAGCAAGAATTCAGACACTGAATGGCTTTCCTACAGTCGGGATCAAACAAACAATTCAGTATTTGAGGACCGCAGTTTGTTATCATACAGCCTAGGGTAGACAGACCTTTTGCCCTAAGGTTTTTCAGCATAGCCACCGGTCTTATGTATGCATTAACCACAACAAGTAAGCAAAACCTAATGTCATCTGAGTTGTGCCTTTCCCACGCATTGGATATCGTCTTGAGGACTTCAGTTGATTCCTCTGTTCCACTTGGTTTTCCAACATTGATTAGCTTGCCAAAGAGGTCCTGCTCTCCAGTGTACTGAACAAATGTGGCTCCTAACTTGTTTATTAAGGACGGAGATGACTGAAAACAAAGTACATTTGGAATGTTCTTACTGCTATGTATAAGCCACTGAACAGACTCCTGGCCTGTTATTGCAACATTGACTAGCATATCACAGTGAGACAACTCTTTCTTAAGATCATCATGGTCAATCGACTTGTCGGTGAATACAAGCATTTCAAATCCTTCATCAACCCACTTCAACCTATCAGCCTAATAAAAAACAAGATACAAGATTATAGGCAGTAAACTGATATTATGAGATTCATTTCATTATATAAATTAACATGCAGATTTTAGCAAAGCAAGCAAGCAAAAAATGCACATTTCATGCACACCTACAGAAATGTATCTGACCCGTACCACTCCATATTATTCAATAATAAATAATGGAAGCATTTAGAACCGAGATAATGATAGTACTCCTATGCTTAAGAATTCAAGATTAGCAATTGAGGCTAAAACCTATGTTTTAAAGGCGTCCGTAAGGCGACGCCTAGGCGACGCCTAGGCGTCGAAGCGCTCCCCCTCCGCTTTGGAAAATCGACCGCTTTGGGCGCCTAGGCGTCGCCTAGGCGCCAAAGCGCCCCCCCTCCCTAAGGCGGTAAGGCGTCGCCTTAAAAACATAGGCTAAAACAACTAGTTCAAACATTAGCAGTGTCCAAAATGAAGCTGGTCTTCCAGTTCAGACAGTTATGGTCATACAGATGGTACTAATTGTTTACTGTATACAGATGGTACTAATTGTTTACTGTATGTAAAATTGTAAAGTATGCGCAGTAGGAGATCAGTAAAACCACTTCACGTTCCAAAGTAACTCCCACAAGGCCGCGATGTCTCCCCCTTTCAGAACGGTGTGAGGGGCGAACTGATGGGTTAAGAGCGAGGCCCTACCGTATGGCGCATAACCTCGTCCCAGGGCGTATCCTTGAGCGGGCTGATGCTTCCGTCGCCAACGACGGCCACGATGCGGACGGCGTCTTCCGGGGACGTGGCTTGGCCGGCGACGCTGGCAATCCCGGGGGAGCAGGTGATGCCGGAGAGGCGGCGACTAGCGGAACGCTTGGGGGCAAACACGGAAGAGGTTCTAGGGAGGCGGAATCCGGTCGGTTGGAAGATCCGAACGGCGGCGGTGGCGGCGGCAGCGGAGGTTGGGAGAGTGGTCGCCATGGGAGGGGACCGAGTGGAGGAAGCGGCTGCACGTCGCGGTAGAGCCTTCGAGGGGCTTTTCCTCGTGGAGCCCGGAGCCCCTTCTCAGCCGTCCGATCTAATATCAACAGTTGGTATTAATAATAAAACAGAGGGGATGACGCAAAATTTTATACCGAACGTGAAATGAAACGAAACACCACCTGCCGCGCCAGAACCTCCATTTAGAGCGGGAGAAACGCAAAATTTCCCCCCAATCCGCCTCCACCTTCTTCGAATCATTCTCGGCTCCTCTCTCCCCGGCCCGCTCGAGAACCTGGGTCCGCCATGGCGACGCTCTTCCTCGCCCTGCAGTGCGTGGAGTGCTCCACCATGCAGGTGGGCGCCTCAACCAGACGGCCGCCGCCGATTTCCGCTCCTGTTCGTTCCACCGCTGATCCGATTTTGTTTCTGTGTTGCCCTTCGACGGCCCAGGTGAAGCAGCAGAAGAAGAGCAGCAACAAGTGGGCGTGCGTGGTGTGCAACCGGCGCCAGTCCGTGCTCCGGGTGCACGCCCGCGGCTACCGCGCCGCCGACCTGCGCCGCTTCGTCCAGGACGCGAACCTCGCACGCGGCCGCGGCGCGCCCGTGCGCGAGGCGGACTGGGACCCGCCGGTGGCCGGGGATCAACAAGACGAGCCCCCGAGGGAGAAGAAGCGGATGGACTGGTCCGAGTACCTGGACGACACCGGGGAGCGTCATGCCGGCCGCGGCTTTGCCGATTCTCGTGATGATGGTATGGTTCAATCATGTTTGATGTAATGCCTGACTGCTTGCTTGCTCCAAATCTGCTAATGTATCTTTCAAGGTTTAATCTAACAGAGACCTTCCTGGACTGGAATCATGTAAACCTGTAGGGCCTGCCCGGCTGCTGTCTGAAATTGACATGCATTTAGATGTTATTGGAGCAATTCATACAACATTACCTATGCCAGCATTAGAATAACCATTTCACAAGTTCCTAGTATAATGAACCTGCATTTAAATGCTCGATTGCTTGTTATTATTTCTCCTGGAACTGGAATCAGATGGTTAAGTCGCTGCATTTTGTATTCAGGAATCAGGATAAGGTTGTATAGTATGCTTCTAAGTTGCATTCATGTTTATTCATTAGCAAATTGTATTTTCCATTACCTAGTGTAATATTGTTTGCGCAGAACATTTGGGTTTGCTTCTCTTTGCACATAACGCAATGCAGGTCGACTACGTGTTGCACTTTGCATCTGCTTTTCCAATCCGACCTAATCATACATTCATACCTGTGACCGTCGTGCCTGGCTGCTGATGCAACATAAGCGGGTGATGTGGGGTGATGGGCCGTGTATGGCTGGCTCTGTCTGTGGTGGCATGGGTTTGATCATGCTCTGTTTCAAAACAAAATGTTGCATATTGCAATACGTTACATGTTATATGCAAAGAAAACAAACCCTGGTGTTTTGCGCAGATGTTGTCAAATTAGATGGTGAAAATCGCAATATACTCTCTATTTATCCTCAGAATTTGTTAGCATCCCATTTCCAGGCATGGAATGGCCTCATTTCCAATGCGTAGTCCAATTATTTTTTATTTGAATGGTAATGGCCTAATTGTTCTCATGCTGCAATTTACAAACAGGGATTGAAGTGACAACTGAGCTACCCCAGGAAAGACCTAAAGCTCCTTCCTTGAAGAGGCCCCGAAAAGCCCAATTGGGTGTAGCTGGAAAGAGGCCCAAACCACCAATCAACCCCTCTTTATCCAAGATGCAGCAAATGGAACAAGGTCCAACTTGCTCAACTGTCTGCTCTGCAACTTCTACTGCTGAAGGTAACATGAAAAATCCTGATCACACTTTCTTACACCTGTCATGATCAAAATAGGAGAGTTGAAATAATCGTTATTGTTTTGTGCAGCACAAAGATCAAAGTTCAGCAAGTATTTGGACAGTAGCTTCTTTGAAGATAGAAATCAGGAGGGTTCTGGGCTCCATTGGACTGACCTTGATGAAAGTGCTCCCACTACTGAGGTAGTGGTGGATGATGAGGTACACCCCGATTTCATGTGATTGTTCTTGTCTGGGATTGCTACTCCTATATCCTATATATTTTAAATAGCAAGTTGTAAGATAAGATTAAATGTGCTGTTGGCAAAATGTTATTCTGTTTGATAGCACTATGGACTTTTGGAATGCTTTGAGTTGGACGAAAAGAGTACTGAAAGTAAATTAGGGTACATACTAACTTTTCTACGCAATTTAACAGTGTATCTGCTCAACCTCTTACTACGCACCCACCTTCATCCTTGGAGTTTCAGATACATCTATGTTACTAAGATATTCTTATCTTCAGATAAGTGTTGGATTAGGAATAGGAATTATAACTCGGAATGTTTTGTTTCATGTATAGACAGTTAGGCACTACTGCAGGAGCCCATAATGCATGAATATATTTAGCTTTCTTCAGTTATTAATATTTGAACATATATAACATGATGGTGCTAAAACCAATGGAAACATGTTCTAAACTGCCAGTCTCTGCTCTCTAGTTGACCGAGCACCAAACAACTCAACTCCACTTATTCCTTTTTTGTAACTTGCTAAGTTTATTTCTCCCAGATCCGGGTACCTTTCTAACTTGTCCTTCAAATGAATGTATCTAGCATTAATTTGGTGCTAGATACATCTATTTGAGTGACAAGCTTTTTCGGACGGAGGGAGTATAATATTATAAGAATGAGGCAAATGATCATACGGTAGTCGTAGGACTGTTGGACGCGCTACAGAAATACAACCTATACAGCTATGCCCAATCGCTTCACTAAATAAAAGGGAAAAGGGAACGCCTTTTCCTTTTCCCTTTAATCATGAGCTTTCTTTTTGCATATTAGTATCATTTATAATCTCTTGAAATGCATAGTCTAATTTAATTTGGCTATACCATGCTTCTCTCAGCCATGCACAAAAGCCCAGGCAAATGATTGCCTCTCTTTTCTGTTGGAGCGACAGAGCCATTAGTTAGCCACATTGTCATAGCACTGTTGAAGGACAAGCAATTGATTAACTTGTTCATTTTTTTTCCAGTACCTTCTATCTGGGTTATACAGTCAATATTAATAAGCTAATCTGTTTGGTTAGCAAGCGAAAGGCAATCACTAAGAGTGTCCCCTTGAAATTTCCCAACTTCGCATTTTATGAATCACAAAACCGTGATCAAGTTCAGACAGTTCCATTGTTGTGTTGTAGAGAAGGATGCCGTTCAGTTTCATTGTTTTCTCTTTCTCTCTCGTTCAAGCATCACGTTCCCCGCAAAAAAAAAGAAGAAAAAGCATCACGTTGTCAGTTTCACTGATAGATATTGCTGCTGCTATTGATCCATCCCAAATTTACACGAGTAGTTCGCTGGTAAGCCCGGAGTCGTGCCTGTGAGGTGTCGTGCTTTGTAGTGCACCTTAAAGCGAGCAAAGGCCGACAGCTCCGCGCGTCGTGGCACATATTCCTCTAGTGGTACCGAACAGGAACAGCTAGGCACGATACCCAGTTCCGCGCCCCTTGCCGTAGGCAGCAGGACGGCATCGTCTCGGCTTTCGATCATGACGTTCAGACCCTGAGAGGGGCTTCTATGTTTTTGCCCGTTGACGTTTCTTCATGCGTTTGCTTTACTTTTATATACAGCATCTCTGTTGTTGTTTTTTTTTGAGGGAAAAGAGTACAATTTACTCTTCAGCCAACACAAGGTCGGCAACTAGCGCAGCGCTCAGATCAGCCGGAACACTCGCTACCAAGTACATTCCATCCATTTTCCTAGCCCGGGCCGCCAGTAGATGAGCCATCTTGTTTTGATTTCTGCTGACATGTTGGACCTGAGCAGCAGCAAACTTCGCCAGCTCCACCTTGATATCAGCGAGTACTGGATAGCATGCAGACAAACTACTGGTGCCCGACCTGAGCTCATTCGCAATGTACATACAGTCTGTTTCCGCGATCATCGGACCAGTATAAAGGGCGGACAAGTGTCGCAACCCTGTCAGCAATGCCTGCGCTTCAGCTTCCTCCGCAGACTTGCAGCGTAAGCCATGTTCAGACAGCGAGAAGATGACAGAACCATCATGGTCTCTCGCAATTGCACCCGAGTGGGAATCACCGCTACCAGTTAAAAACGCTGCATCAGTGTTCAGTGTGACTGTTCCCGCCATAGGGGGCCTCCAGTGACTGATGGTGTGATCCACAGTGGCTCCTACCTCTTGTCCATCTATCCCTGTTGACAGCGGGAACAGAGAAAACCCCTTCGCCAAAGCACCCCCGCTCTGCAGCGCCTTCTGCTTCCCCTTACTATCAGTTTCCTCCCCCGAGCCTCCGCAGGTTAGTTCTTCCACGTACTGTTTTAAGAACATAGCGGATCGGCTAACCAGCTCCTTCCCTGCATTATGGGTGCAATCGTCTTGGAGGAACCAACACCGCCACAGCAGCAGTAAAATTTTCGTTCTAATCTCTGGTTTGCATGGGTTAAGGAGGATCTGCAGCCAATCATCACCTGAGTATCTGAGTTTTTCCTCGCTAGGTAGCTCCCAAGCTGCTCTCATTTCATGTCTTAGTGCCCTGCTCTTTGTGCACGAAATTACAGCATGAAATTCATCTTCCTCGCCGTTCCCGCAAATATTGCAAGTGCTTCCCACTTCCAGTGTGCGCTTCCATTTGTTCTTCTTTGTAGCCATAGTGCAAGTAGCTACTCTCCACCCAAATATCTTAATTTTCTGAGGCACCTTCGCCTTCCAAATAATGTCCCAGATACTACGATCTCTGTTGTTTTTTTATTGATTAAACGTGTGGGAGTACCATCCCTGTCAAGAATTGCTAGTCGTTAATTCATACCACCAACATCTCCGCATCAAATTGCTTGATGTAGATGCAAACTCGTCTACAAACACAATACATTTTGGTCTGCGTCGTAGGCTTGCCGTTCTTTCCCTCTCCCCCACCTCAACCAAAAATCTGCTGCGTCGCCATTTTTATAAAACTAGCGGGGCATTTAATTTGGCAGTTGAGTACTGCACCCTCTTCTGGTCGCTTCCGGATGTGAAGTCTTTGATACATTTTGATCGGCGTCACATTCTTGTGGGTGGCAGCTAATTTCACGGCGAGATATCTTGCGTGAGTTCAGCTGAAAGCTTTTGCTAAGCATAATTGAGCCTGTGATCATGTTCTCGCCCTTTATTCCCTCCCTTCGCTTTGCTCCATCTTTTTCTTTCCATCTTCTCTTTTATTCAAGGAAAGTACTAGTTGTGATTATTTTCAACTCTGGTTAGGTCAAGTACTTAGAAATTCATTTCAGTGGAGAGAAACGGCCTCCGGATAATAGAATCCGTTACGCATTACCTTACAACCGCGAGACAGCTGCCTGCCGCGGTGACACGGCGTGCTTTTCTGACGGCAGCGACATGGCAAGTGCGAGTATGTCACAAAAATATTGGTTTTATTAGTACGTGATGAAAATGAGTAGGACTATACAATCACGTGTTGCATCAATTGTGGCAAAATCATCGTTGTAGAGAAGAAAAATAACGCACCATGAATTGTGGGGTTGGAGTGTCTCTTATACGGTCCGATCCCATACTAACCCTTACAGTAGATCATTATTGTGCAATTGCACGCACGTCAAATCCAACCCCATCTCGGCATGATTCGCTGTTCACCCTGTACCGGCGGCCAGCGCGGGCGGTGGCCCAACCTGGTTCCCAGCGGCAGCAGAGAGCCGACGGTTGGTGGTTGTTGGCTGGTCCTGGTCGATCGATCGGCATTATCGTCGGGGCAATGGTTGGATTGGTTAACCTCTCTTTCTACGTCCGGCCTGTTTGCCCGCTCCGTGCTTCCTCCACTCTCCCGTACTAGTACTTGGGAACGGGACGCCGGACGCGGCAAAGGAAAGGAGAAGAGGAGAGAGATGCATTTGTCCGTCGCCGCTAGCTGCTTAAGCTTTGGGACGTCGTGTCTTTTGGCGTCCAAGGAAGTGATGGTGACTGGACATGGCACATTGCACAGCACCAATCGTCCTGATTGAAGCGGACCATTTTTATCGTTAACACGTCCGGAGGGCAGGAAGTGCACGCGCTACCGACCGCACGCACTGTCGTGGCGGATAGCAATTGCTGTAGATGGCCATCTGCTCCGGCCGTGCGTGCTTATGTTAATGGCTGGCTGATCGTGGTACCAAACCGGAGACGTGTCCGTTGCAGCGGAGCGGAGCAATGCGCCTGCCCTCTGCATCATCACCCGATCGATTCAAAGCTTAAACTAGCTCATTACTTTCTTTCTTTCAAGTACTAGCAGGCTTAGACGAGACACTAATAAAAGCAGAGTAGGGAAGATGGAGTAGGTGTTTGGGTGGTCATGCAAGGGCAAGGCTATTGTTTGGTTGACCGTCATATTGAAATTGCCATGATTCCGTTTCGAAAAAAAAAAGAAATTCCCATGATTCAGTGCACATTTCCGATGGGAATTCTGAATCACGGCGCAGTATTATCCGTCAGGTCAGTAGGGTCAGCATAAGCGCAAATGAAGATGCTAAACCCCACTGAACCCGCTTCCACACTTTTAACACCGGCTCCCGGACGCACACCTGCACTGACAAATGGTCCCGTACGTGCATTCCCAGTCCCACACCACCATCCGCTCCGACGCGCGCACGTACAGATGAAGGACAGCCAGCTCATCACGCCACCAAAACTGGAAAAGCGGAGGCCGTGCCAGTTTACAGCAGCCTTCGGCAACTCCACTTTTTATTCAACCAACCGCTCTAAACCCGACGCCTCACTGACATCTCGTCCTGGAGGTTTGCTGGCCCCACCGCCCGGCACCCAACTGCGTGGGCGTGTCAGCGCATCCCGCAGCTAAAAGTCACCAGCGCAAGGACACGGCGGGCTGGTTTCTCCGGCTGGCCCCACTCGTCAGCTTGCGGATATGTACGTCCCGGCAGGTGAGGCGACGGTGCATTCCGTTGCGGTGCGGGCCCCGCCCACCGTCTCAGTCTGTCACTCGCTCCTTTCCTCTTCTTCTCTCCAGCTCCCCATTTGCGCCTTCGTCTCTCTCCCCAGAACCTCTCTCTCTCCTCTGCTCCACGCCACAGAAGAGAACAAACAGTAGGAGGAGCGCTCTCCTTCGGCCGCGAGCGTCTGCGTCCCGCAATGGAGGCGTGATGGTTGGCGCGGATAGAGGGGTAGCGGGACAGGGAAGGTGAGCAATCTGCCGGGAGAGCGCCGACGCCCCGCCCAGTCCAGCCCAGGTTCGTGCGCCATTCCCTTGCTGCATTTTCCTTTTGTTTCCGCGGAATCCTCGTGCCGCATTATGCCCGTGTTTCCGCTGCGTGCTCGCGCGCGAGACCGCCGGCGTTCTGCGCCAACTGCCTGTGTTGTGTTGGTCGTGGGGTTCGTGGTCGTGGCTGCCGCTTTTCGTGGAGTTGCTGGGCTTGTGCTTGCTGCTTCTTCAGATCCGTTTTCTCCTGCCGGTTTGGGCCTTGCTTGCTCGCCTTCGCGCTTTTCCTGCCGTGGCATTCCAGACATCGTCGTCTTCCTTCACTGTGTGTCCCTGCTTTTTTTTTTTACAAGATTTCCAGTGTAACGTTTGCTGGTTACGGCTACTTCGGCGTGCCGCCTATGTTTTTTTTTTTTCAATCCAAGATTAAAAAGAGCGGTGTGGTGTTTGGATCTGTGTGCTGAGTTGCTGACGACTTGCTCTACTGCAGGTCCAGAATTTCCGGTGTTTGAGCAGTTTTAGTAGGCTGCTATGGGGAAGTCCCCGGCCAAGTGGATAAAGTCCGTGCTCCTCGGGAAGAAATCAACAAAATCCAATTCTACCAAGGCAAAGGATCTTCCAGCAGTAAGAACTTTAATAATGCACATATCTTGTTAATTAAGAGCTAGTTTTCCTAAGGGTTTGACAGTTGAGTTACGCAATTCGCAGTAAAAAAAATTACCCCCTCTGGTCCAAAATAAGTGTCGTAATTTTAGTTCAAGTTAACAAATGTTACTAGTTATATATTTTTTCTGGTCCAATTTTGGGTTTATCGATGCATTCTTCTATTTTAGCTTGAAAGAAAATCCTAGCTAGCTCTTCCACAATAATGGTCTTGAAGGCAATACTTGTACTAGGACATCAAATTCTAGTCTCCTTGACTGGATTGCACACTGAAGAAACATTAGATGCATTGCTTTTCATGTTCCTCTCTGCTTTATTCATGTTCTCGGGTTGCTTTCAAGTGAATATTGTGTTTTTCTTCTACTTTTGATGACTAGTTGAGTTAATCATATCTCTTCCCTGAAATATAGAAGGCTGCAAACAGCAACGGATGCACTGCTGGGAAGGAGCCTGAATCCTCTGATAATTCTCCCCTCATCTCGGAGCCGGTACTTGTTAGCTCCCACAATGTGTCTGAAATTTCCAACTTGCCCAATGGGAGGGCAATCGAAAACATGGTTAGAGTTGGGTCCGACACGCAAATTAGTCCAGAGAAACTGAGAGAAGAACTAGCAGCAGTGAAGGCGCAAGCCGCTTTTCGAGGTTACCTGGTAAGTGCTAAGCACCTTTCTTATCAACTGATTCATACAGTATTTGTACAGTTCATGCCATCTTGGTGATGCGTCTGCTGACTGCAAAACTCTGCAAGTGTTGCTCCTAGCTTCTAAACCTTTTATGTAGTGCTGTAGTGGCTCATAAAAAAATAGAAAAGGAAACAAGAATAGTCAGCCTCACGAAAAGAAATTCAAACGTGATAAAAAGTTTGATGGGCTTATTGGCTGATCTCCATCAAACAATTAGTAGCTTCTGCTACTTTAACACCTTCACAATTTTTTTCAGGACACTATAGAAAGCACCCTCTGCAATAATGTGTCCCGACTCCCTACATTAATTATTGTTTAAAAAAATGCATTTTGAATCCTGGGCATCTGGAAAGGCATACATGGTTTGGACAACTATAAAAAGATGCATTTATCTGGGTGTACTGGGGATCATCCATTCTCTGCTGCAGCAAACATATTCATTTTCATTTAGTTGCAGCAGCACAGTGCTAATGTTGGAACGGTTGTGAACTTGTGGTGCAGGCACGCAGGGCCTTCCGCGCATTAAAAGGTATCATCAGACTTCAGGCACTGATTCGAGGGCATCTTGTAAGGAGGCAGGCCGTTTCAACCCTTCGTGGAACATGGTTGATTGTGAAGTTTCAAGCTCTAGTTCGTGGAAGAAATGTTAGATTTTCTAGTGCTGCCACGCAATTAGCTGTGAAGTTTGGTCAACATAAGTATGGGGTGAGACCTGATTCCTTTCTACTCAGTTTACCACTGTTGTAGACAATAAATGCTTGCGCCCATGAAAGTGTGGTCTGCCACACTATTTTTAAATCACTTATTGCACAAAATAATGCATGCCTCAACATCAAAGCAGCACAGTGACCTTGAACCAGACCCCAGCATATAAAGTACGAGTAGCATACAAAACTAAGTGTTCAGTAAACGTTCTGTACTTGGATTACTACAAATAGCAAGAAAATAGTGTTAATTGTGTGCCTTTCTGCATCTTGTTCTGCATTATTTGGTCATGGTTATGTGCAAGTTCAGTGTATTATTGTATTGTCGTGGATAGTAATGAAAACTTGCCCTTTACCCTTAGATATTTCTTCTTAGGTTAATAACTTATTTTCTTAGGTCGTTTTAGAATTTTCTCCCTGGGTGCTTTGGACCCCAACAGGCTTTGTTCACTTGGTCCTAGTGCAACTCAACATACTCTGTTCCCTATCATTAGTTTACGATCGACACATAATGGTTTTATCGGAAAATTCCATAGATGGTTTCAGCAGAGCTTTCACTGTCACTGTTGATATGCTGACCACTAAATAACGTCCCATATTTGTGACATTTAACACGATTTGGTAATACACAGAAGTACCAACAGTTAGAAATTGCTCACTAGTCATGTGTTTTCTTGTGAAATTTAACATTAAAAGAGTTGCCCATCTGTTGAAAAAAGGTCATGGAATTATTCTGCAAAACTACAGTTTGAATTGTTTATGTTGAGCATATCATTGTATTATTTATCATGCTTCCTCTTTCTTTTCGCCGGAAGGTGATTGCTCAAAGTCTAAAACGTAACTCTGCATTCCCCTTATGCAATTTTTACTGTTTGGTAGCTAGTATGGCACAAGAATCTAAACATATCTTTGTTGTTAGGGTGACAAGTCGTCGGATGCATGGAAGGAGAAGCTATCTTCACATCCATATGTTCGAAAGGTATGCAATAGTTTTGAGAAAAATAATTACTGGTCAGGAAAATAATCTTGACCCTGCTCATTCTTATCTAAGAAATGCATGTCATCACAGCAAACTTACTTTCTATTTATTTCTAAGTTGTTCTAACTCATTTTTGCATACTTATAGCTTCTGTCTTCACCAATTTTGGTACAAGCTCTTCACGTTCAGTATGATGAGACAAACCCCAATTCAGCCCTCAACTGGCTGGAGAGATGGACAATAAGCTGCATCTGGAAGCCTGTTTCCAAACCAAAAATAGTTACTGACGGGAAACCACAAGTAAGGAGGGCCAGTTATGCCATGGAAACTCACTCAGCAAAGTTAAAGCGCAATGTTCGGAAGTCTTCTACTGCCACTGTTGAGACTCAGGCAAATACCGTTGAATCTGAAAAATGGAAAAGAAACCCACGGAAATTGAATGGCTCACCTGCTGATTCAGTACCAGACAGCCAGTTATCTGAACTTGAGAAGGTTAAAAGGAACCTTAAGAAGGCAGCTAACTCCATGGCTGAAGCCTCTAAGATATCTACCAAGGCTGATGTGTTGAAGGTACCTAATTCCATAGCTGATGAGCTGAAGATACTTGGTTCCATGGCTGAACTATCAAAAAAATCCAGCATACCAAACGGTATCTCTGACCATCAAGACAGCGAATGCGAGAAAGCACTAGAGAGTACACGTGAGGCTGTGTTTCCTCTTGAAACTCAAGATTCTCACAGTGGCAATCTTTTGGAAAATTCAAATATAAGTAAGTTGGTACCTGACATAAAATATGATCTAGAAGCATCATTCTTAGGGGACAAAGTTAATGAACCCACTACTGTCGCTCAAGCAGATGAAGTCATACAACTGCAGAACCTTGATAACGGATATGATATTATAGAAAGGAAAGAAGAGACTAGGTCCAAGGAAGAACCTCTGCCTAATGGAAGCCTTAAAACCAAGAGAAGGTCTTCGTTCTCTAATTCAGAATACCCTGAGAGTGGAACCAAGAACACTCCAGTTCCATCAAGGAAGCCAAGCTATATGGCTCCAACAGAATCGTTAAAGGCGAAATTGCGAGGACCACCCAGATTAGACTCTGATCTACCAGTGGACAAGAATGCCTTCACTCGCCGTCAGTCTCTTCCTTCTGCTGCAAACAGTACGTTTTATTCCCCATTTGAATTCCCCTGAAAAACATAATTTACACATACACAAAAATCAGTTCAAAATAGGGATGCTCTTAGAAGTGATAGATACCTTTTCTAGATAATGTCAGCGAATACTCCCCACCCTCTGCATCCTACAATTCACATACCCAAATTATTAGTCATTATAGTATTTTGCGCCATATGTGATAACAATAGCGACAAACTGCTTAATCAAGAGCAAAATCAAACATTACATAAGCAGTTATAAAAACCGCCACCCAAACGATGACATAAATCCCTTGGTAGCCAACAGCAATGATGCGCTAAAAAGTGATATATGTCATCATAAAGGGGTGGCAATGGCTACTCAACTCATTAGCTATCTTCATATGTATGGTTGCTGATGTTGTAATGTCTATCTGTATGCATCTGATTACTTCAGATTTTGCAGCTTATAAGTTGGAACTACATGTTTGGAAGAAATTTCAAGCTGTATAAATTGTTGATTTCTCAAACCTAAACATTCTGTTTTGCTCTTCGTTACTTAAATTCCACTTCTTTCGTCCTACTATCTGCAGATAGAGCAATCAAAACAGAATGGAGGCGGTGAAGAGGCTATCAAGCTTCCAACAGAAGGGTGCATTATTGTGGAAGAAATTTCAAGCTGTATAAATTATTGATTAGTTTATGAAGTTTGCTGATGTCTACCTGTCTCTGTCCTTGTTGTTCTGTCTACGTTATAAACATATGTTCTTACGCCCTTTTCGAACTAGCTTGTGGTGATATGTTTGGTGCTATTTTTTCCTCGAGTTATCTTATAGTTCCTTGGTCCGTGTATTAAATGTATAGCTCCAGTTATTTGGCTCATTTCTGTTTTGATGACGACACAGCATAACCGATTGCATTATGAAGTGCCAAATTACAAGTTTGAATAGCCTCTCTTTTTTCTTGCTTCTCCTCCACGTATATTTCCACCTTTTGCTAATTTCAGTTTCATTTTTGTTGGTTTTTCTTGGCTCAAATGGGCTTGATGCCTTGTATATACATATATCACATCTCTTATACTTTAATCACGTCATGTATGGCTGAAGAACTCACCTGAGATGGCTTAGAGCATCTCCACTCGTCCCCCCTCGGACCACTTTTTTTGCTCCGGCGGTAAGAGAACGTCCTAGTCGTGCCCCCAACTCCTCACTTTTCGCCGGATTTGGGCAAAATTAGGGCCGGCGCTCCTAGGCCAAACCCAACCCATCGGGGGGCACTTGGGGGGCTCCGACGCTATTTTCTACATGCAAATGGCCCACCGTCAGTCGTCCATCGCCTCTCTCTCATGTTTGTCTCCTCTCTCTCTCTCTCTCTCTCTCTCTCTCTCTCTCTTGTCTGTCTCCTCTCTCTCTCCTCTATTTTCTGCATGCAAATGCCCGCCATCAGCCGTCCATCGTCCATCCGGTCTGGTGGCTGGGAGAGCAACGAGTGGAAAAAAGTTCATCCCCAGAGCAAAAATTACGCCGGGGCCAACCGGCCCAAAAAACACCTCCTGGGGGGCTCAACGGCTGGAGATGCTCTTATGTTCCAGAAGAGTTTTGGTCCAATAAAGCTCTAGATTAAAGAAAACTCGAGATTACTGCTATCAGAGATGCAGCGAATAGTAACTAGACCCAGTGGCCTTCCTCTCAAACCCTAGGCAGCCGCCACCGTTCCTGCCGACGAGGCCACGGGTCCCCTTCTCCTCTGCATGCCACTCTGGCGGCAGGAGGGGTTGGGAGCTTGGATTAATGATACGTCTCCGTCGCATCTACTTTTCCTAACGCTTTTGCTCTTGTTTTGAAATCTAATTTGCATGATTTGAATGAAACTAACCCGGATTGACGCTATTTTCAACAGAACTACCATGGTGTTGTTTTTGTGCAGAAATAAAAGTTCTCGGAATGGAACGAATTTTTTGGAGAATTGTTTTACAATAAAAGAAAACACTGGAGCCAAGAACCACCGGAGGGGGGCCCTGGTTGAGCACAACCCACCAGGGCGCCCCCCCTCCAGGCACGCCCAGGTGGGTTGTGCCCACCTCGTGGCCCCGCAAACCCTAATTCCGACGCTATAAAATTCTATTTTCAGAGAAAAAAAAGAAAGGAATTTTCATTGCGTTTCACGATACAAAGCCGTCGCCTTCTCCTGTTCTTCATCGGGAGGCCAGATCTGGAGCCCGTTCGGGGCCCCGGAGAGGGGAATCTTCCGTCTTCGTCATCACTAACCCTCCTTCATCACCAACTCCATGATGCTTCCCACCGGGAGTGAGTAATTCTTTGGTAGGCTCGCTGGTCGGTGAGGAGTTGGATGAGATTTATCGTGTAATCGAGTTAGTTTTGTTAGGGCTTGATCCCTAGTATCCACTATGTTCTGCCCTAGGTTATGACTGTTATATGATGAATATCATCCAACAAATCTACCGATCCAATGCCTACGACTTTTTCACATATTGCTCTTGCTAAGTTACTACTGCTGCTGTTACTGTTACACTTGCTATAAAATCATTGATATTACTATTACCGTTATTATTACTGTTACCACTGCTATCAAAACCATCATAGTACTGTGCTACTGATATTTAATCTCCAAGTGTGGTTGAATTGACAACTCAACTGCTAATACTTACAAATATTCTTTGGCTCTCCTTGTGTCGAATCTATAAATTTGGGTTGAATACTCTACCCTCAAAAACGGTCGCGATCCCCTATACTTGTGGGTTATCAAGACCTTTTTCTGGCGCCATTACCGGGGAGCATAGCTATATTTGTTGAGTCACTTGGGATTATTATATATTTATCACTATGTAGAATCTGAAGGACACCAAGACTAAGATTTTTCCTCTAAGACCAGGGGAGGTAAGGAACTGCCATCTAGCTCTACACTTAATTCACCTTCTATTTTGAGTAGACTTGCAACACCACCACATGCTATTAATCATGATATGTTGCAAGTTATTGATGATGCTACTTCTGCTATGCATGATACTCATGATGGTGCTAGTACCTTGCTTGATGATAATGTGCCACTAGGTGAATTTCTAGAAGAACAAATTGCTAGAGCTAAAGATATTGAGAGTGCTAAAACTGATGAAATTACTGAAACTGATGAAGTACTTGAAACTAAAAATCTTGAAACACCTATTAGACCTAGCTCTCCTAGATATGAAATGCCTAAGGTACCTGAAGGTTATGTTATGGATGAGGAGACGGCTAGAGGTTTTCTTGCTTGCAATGATACAGATGATCTTAAGAGATTATTATGCAAACTGAAAGAAAACTCTTTGAACGCTAGAATGAAATGTGATCCTAAGTTAGTTACTTCACCTACCTTTGTTACCGATAAGGATTATGAATTCTTTGTCGACCCAAAGTTGATTACTTTGGTTGAATCTGATCCTTTTCATGGCTATGAAACTGAAACTATAGTGGCACATCTTACTAAGTTAAATGATATAACCATCCTTTTTGCTCATGATGAGAAAATTCGCTACTACTATATTCTCAAATTATTTCTGTTCTCATTAAAGGGTGATGCTAAGATTTGGTACAATACTCTTGCTCATGGTTGTGTGCGTAGTCCCCAGGATATGATTTATTACTTCTCTGAAAAATATTTTTCTGGTCATAAGAAACAAGCTGCCTTACATGAGATATTTAACTTTTTGCAAATTGAAGAAGACAGTCTCCCGCAAGCTTGGGGAGGCTTCTCCAATTGCTTAATGCTTTTCCTGATCATCCACTTAAGAAAAATGAAATACTTGATATCTTCTATAATGGACTAATCGATGCTTCTAGAGACTTCCTAGATAGTTGTGCTGGTCATGTTTTTAGGGAATGAACTATTGAACAAGTCGAGGAATTATTGAATAAAATATTGAAAAATTATGATGATTGGACTCTTCCCGAACCGCCGCCTAAACCCACTCCGAAGAAGAGGGGTGTCTTATTTCTCAGTCCTGAAGATATGCAAGAGGCAAAGAAATATATGAAGGCAAAATATACTAAAGCTGAAGATGCTAAGAATTTACCACCTATTGAAGAAATACATGGACTTGACACACCACCACAACGGGTGGTAGAGGTAAATTCTTTAATGAAGTTTGATGAAAGTGATATCCCATAGAATAAGCATCCTAGTCAATGCCTTTATGAATTTGATAACTATATCAGAATACAAGATCACTTCAATGCCAATGTTATGAAACAATTGAAATATAATTCTGATATGATTGCTCACTTGAGTGACTTGTTATTTAGAATCTCCAATGATGTTAGAGGCGTAGGAAAACATGCCTCTATGGTTCAAACCCAGTTTGAACAACTTGCTAAATCTCAAAGAGAGTTGCTTAATGAAATGAATAATAATATGAATGATCATGCTAGTAGAGTAATGACTAGAGGAGGTAGAATGACTCAGGAACCACTTTATCCTGAGGGACACCCGAAAAGAATTGAGCAAGATCTCAAAGAATTAATACTGATGCACCTAGTCCTTCTAAAAAGAAGAAGAAAAAGAAAAATGATAGGACTTTGCATACCTCTAGTGAACCCGAAACAGAAAAACCTCCTGAAAATAATAATGATGTCTCTATTTCTGATGCTGAAACTGAATCTAGTAATGAAAATTCATCTAGTGATAATGAAAAATATAATGATGATGTTCATGAATACACTCAACCAGACAATGATAAAGAACCAGATAATGATATTGAAATAGAACCTGTTGTTGATCTTGATAACCCACGAACTAAAAATAAAAGATATGATAAAAGAGACTTTGTGGCTAGAAAACATGGAAGAGAAAGAGAACCATGAGTTCAGAAACCCATGCCTTTCCACCTAAACTAGCTAAGAAAAAAGATGATGAAGAATTTGAACGCTTTGCCAAAATGCTTAGGCCAGTCTTTTTGCATACTCGCTTGACTGATATTTTAAAGATGGCCCCTTATGCAAAGTATATGAAAGACATCATCACTAATAAGAGGAAGATACCGGAAGCTGAAATCTTCACCATGCTTGCTAATTATTCTTTTAAGGATGGAGTACCTAAAAAACTTGGAGATCCATGAATACCAACTATACCTTGCTCCATCAAAAGAAATTATGTCAAAATTGTTTTGTGTGATTTAGGAGCTGGTGTTAGTGTTATGCCTTTCTCCTTATATAAAAGACTTGATTTGAATAAACTCACACCTACTGAAATATCTTTGCAAATGGCTGACAAATCCACTGCCACACCTATCGGTATTTGTGAGGATGTGCCCGTTGTTGTTGCAAATGTTACTATCTTAACTGACTTTGTTATACTCGAGATGCCCGAGGACGACAACATGTCGATTATTCTTGGTAGACCCTTTTTGAATACTCCAGGGGCTATTATTGATTGCAATAAAAGCAAGGTCACTTTTCATATCAATGATAATGAGCATACGGTGCACTTTCCAAAGAAACAATTCCAAGTGAATGGTATTAATGTTATCTAAAAATCTCCAACACTCACTATTGGAAGTTTTCAACTACCTCTACCTACTGCCAAAAAGAAATATGAAATGCTTATTGTTGAGGACATGCATATTCCCGTTGAGGTAACTTAGTGTTTTATGAAAGTTCTTCGGTTTCATGCTAATCGAAGGTGGTTGTTAATAAGACCTGAT